GTTTCCTGTTCAGAGATAAACCTCCCTTCCCTCCTCAGTCACCAGCCTCTTTCATGCATCAGACAGATCCTGCTCTGGGCAGCACAGCAGGCATTTGTTCCAGGGCTGGCAAGGACTTTTGCTGCTGTGTTCACGAGAGAGAGGCAGATTTGGAATTAGTTTTTGAGGCTCCAGGACTTAGATTAATTGGTCAAGAGGTCTGATTAGAGCTGCTGTGATTGTGCAAGCCAGCAAGTGTCTACCACATGTTTTTATTCTTTCCCACTTTCAGCCAGAGGGCTGAGATCAAGTTTCTTAATTAGTTTCTGAAAATAGGAAGAAAACTGTTGTTCTGTCACTTCCTACAGAAATGAGGCACACTGCATATGAAACAGGGCATTGGGCACAAAAGCTGCTTATAGTTGAAGGACAAAATATGTGCTCACTTAGGGATTGGTTGATTGTTGTGTTGCCAGTGATGTCTTATGGGTGTGCAGATGTAAATCAAGTTCTATTTTTGAGACCCTGTAATTTCTATGACTTTTTTTTCCCCAAGACAATTCTTGCTTTCTGAGTAAAAAATAACAAGGAGAAAGGCTTAAAGTACATTACAGTAGGGTGCTTACATGCAAAGTACCTAAGAAGACTTTGTAATGAAAAGCAAATGAAAGATAACTTACAAAACATTCTTCAGTAGCATATGAGATTTTGTGGTGTTTAGTTAAAGGCAGAACTATGTGAATGGTTATGCTTTATTAAGTGACATTAGTAGAAAAGGAACTATGAGAAGTACAAGCAAAAAAGTTGTAAGAAGCTAATAGTTACTTGCAAATTTAATATGGAACATTTCAAGTTTTCTGAAGTAGAGATAATCAGACCTTGCTAATATGTTTTACAAATTCTCATCACGTAAGGATGATTATATTAAAATTACTTCTTGGTACAAAGCAGGATTCACTACCCGTACTAATATGATAGATCTCTCAAAGTGCTTGCTTCAATGAATGTTCCTGTAGTATGGTTCAAGGCATTCCAAAAGCTTGCAGTGAACTGACAAAGGTGCCTTTGAATACTTTAATCATGCATAGCCATCTTTACCCTCTTCAGACTGAGACTTATCTAGATTACATGATTGGTTAGCCTCTCAGAATAAGTTGACCCTTAAATTAAATGTTGCCTCTTTGAAGATTACCAATCAAATTAAAACAACCAGTCACACTTTAACCTCTAAAATAAATGGAGTTTTTTTAAGTGTTCTCTTTTAATGATCAGTTCCTATAAAATAATTTATAATTGTCAGCGCTCCACACTACGGAAATTCAAGCTCATTTGAAGACTAGGACTGCAATGGGCCCTTTATCAAGCACTTTCTTTAGAGCTATGGTTTTGGTAAGATCAGAGAACAAATTAGAATAACACCACTCTCTAAACTGGGTTCATGGTTGAGATGAACCAAATAGGATGCTGGAAAACCAGTTTTCTTCTGACCACCATGTGGAGAATTCTAACTGCAAAGTCAAGAGCTCTTCTTCCAGCACATTTGGAGGACTTAACAGCATACACCGAGTCCAATGCCTTTTAAAAAGTTTCTGCTTTTCCTCCATGCCTCTGAAGCTGGCTTTGTAATCCCAGTGCTGGCAAGCTCCTCTCCTCCTTTTAAGTGTTTTTCAGGTGGTATCACCCGCAGTGGAGGAGGCTCTCCGAGTCCTGGTGGGATCTGTGGCTCCAGAGACCAATGTTTCTTCCTCCTGCTCTTTGCAAATTTGTTCATCAAGAGGCAAGTGGTAAAATGAGGAGAACATACTCTTTTTTTCCTTTTTTTTTATTCTTCTTTTTTTTAAATTTTCTCTTTGTATAAAATGCCTTAAAGTATTCTGTGAAGTACTCTTACAGTTCATCTAGTGATAGCTGGCAACAGCTATTTTGTATTTTTTAGTATTTTACACGCACTTCTCAAAAACACTTAACTGTAAGAGAAGTTCATGTCTATATTGACAAAACTGGTAATTAAGAGCTGATGTAAAATTCTTGCACAAAACTTCCACATCACTCCTTCAGTGTTATGATAATAATGATTATTACTCATATTGATTTAAATCTCAACATTGACAATTCTGAGTTTGCATCCAAAAATTGTGATGCTTGATTTAAACCAGTGTTTTTGAGTATGCCTGCAGAAGATGTTAACTTGGGGGATATGCTGGGTGCTCCCACAGGACATCTAATTCAACTTTTTTACACAAAGTGATCAATGCCTTTAAAAAAATTGCAATATTTCAAAATAGATTTAAGCTGAAAATGGTTTTTCACAATAAAATGTGTCTGTGTGTCATGGTGTCATACATGGTGGGCTCTGTTGAATCTTCATTCTGGTCTCTTTTCTCTTTTTTCAGGAAGAAAACTGTCACTTTCTGTTGCTTTTCAAGATAATTTATTGCTCACATTGTGCATATGAGCTTATTCCCACTCTAGTTAGTATCAGCTATATTATTCCATCAATGACTAAATAACTAAAATATTAGTATATAATACATAATTAACTATTTCAATAATACAGAGTCATAGATGTGATTGTATTCCTGGGTGTAATATTTATTTTAACTCAGAATTAAATAATGTCTTGAGTTTGAACATAATTAGCAGAGACCTCATGAACAAGCCTTTATGGAAAAGCTGAAAGCACAAACATGCCCTGGTGGGTGTGGCTCTACTTAATTTCAAATGAACTCAGCTGAAGATCTGTTTCAGATGTTTAGCAATAGCTAATCAGGGTGTGATCATTTGTGTGTATTTCTTCCTAGTGAAAGCAGGAGAAAACAGTGCATGAGAGAACAGAGCATCGCTATATACAGGAACAAAAAAATCAATAATTATAGATAATGGTACTGCAGCAATGAAATAGCTTTTACTGCCAGTTCTCTATCCACATCTATAAACTTCTGAGAAGGTTTTTTTATCTGCAGCTTCCCTCTTTGCCATCTCCCACACCACATGTGGGGTTATACACCGTTTTTATTAATGGACACAAAAAGCCAGTAATACAAGAAATGTAGTCAGAAAGGCTTTTCCTTCCCACTTGACAGAGAGAGTCAGAGGCTCTGCTGCCTAGCCCAGTGTATTGATCTCTGCTTCTTACATGTTAAGGAGGAAATTCTCTCCAGAGTTTATTTGTACTAGCTCTTTGTTGCTTTGAGGTTTCAGTAAATAGCAGTATTTCACTAAGATTCTTCTTTATAAAAATATTCCTTTTGAAGAAACTAAATAAACAGCAAACAGGTGAAAAGGTGCCTCTTGCTTTGCAGTTGCATGTTTTCATGGATCTTCCCCCTTTTTTTAAAATATTACTTTAGACATGGAGTTCTGCAGGCAATTTAGACTAAGACTGAGTAGAAAGTTTATATAAATGAACATGTATTTTCATCTCTTTCCTAGTGCACCTTGCCACAATATTCTCCCCTTTTTCTCCCTGGTCATCAAAAAAAAAAAAAAAAAAAAGTGCGAACTGAGTCCACTTATAAAGATTCTTTGTGCTCTGTGATTTTGAGGACTCTGCCAGTTTTATTGGTGTATACTGAAATAGCTTTCAAAAGGTCTTAATTGTTTTGTCCTGACTTAGCATATGACTTGTACTATTTTTGCAGGTTTTGTTTAGTTGTTTGCCCAATCCTCCCATAATTGTCTGGTTGATCTAGGACACTTTAGATAAAAGGTTACAAAAATGACATTGTGACATTCTGTGACTCTTTGAGCTAAAAACCTTCTATTTGGAGTCTCCAGGGGATCACAGCCCAGCCACTTCTAAGAGAAGATCTTGTAGTGATTTAGTCTCTAGATTCTACTTAGGATTTGTAGATGTATGTGTGTCTTTGGCTCATGGCAAATAATTTACAGTACTTTGAGGAGAAAAATATATAAATCTGCATACACACACACAAAAAAAACCCAACAATATTACAGGTGCTTTGATTTTTCTACCATTTTTACTTGGCTGTTTGGGTATGCAAGCAGAATAAAATTAAAATGCTATTAGATGACATTAACATTGACCACAAAGCAACTGCTTTCAGAACACCTTTCTTCTGGGCAATATTCTCATAATTATTTGTAAAATGGTTTGATTTTGTTATGACCTTTTAGCTTTTATTGTTTGAGGCTTACCCAAATGTACGTAATTTTTTTCCTTTGTGCCATAATGTGTTGGGGCAAATTCTCCAGAGACCTATAAGTCTTGCCTGCATTATACATTTTTTTGCAACCTATGGCCATTGCAGTTTGGAACATGTGGACAGGGGGTTCAAATGTGGAAATATTTGACCTGGTCAGAAGAAAGATTTTACTGACTGTACAGCAAATTCCTCATCCAGTTCCCTGTGCATAAGGATGTTTATTGCTATTGGTTCCAATGCACATGGAAACTTCACCTTCAAAAGCAGCAATTTTAGGGACACACTTGAAGTGTTCTTTTCTGCTAGTATGCAGTCCAGCCATATGTTTGGGGAAAATGGGAAGATTAATCCTTGGCACACAACTCTGAAAGCAGCCAAATCTGGGAGAGATTATGACTGAAATTTGTCTTGATTCAAGTTTCTCTGAAGAGCAGAACTAACCTCAATAATTCATGGAGAGCATCGGGAAGCTCTACAACTCGCCCCTATCAGGAACAGTTTATCAGTTCCTGTGTTTATTCAGTTTTAAGTCAATGGCATTTAAAAAGAAATAAGAAGAAGTTTTAAAACACCCCTTCCCAAGCCATCTCAGGGCATAGTAAATGCGAAAATAAATTTCAAGTGTGCTTCTTGCATGATTAAAAAAAAAAAAAGGTCTTTTAGGAAAACAGTTTCTGAATTACAGTTCAAGGAGTTGGACATCTTTTCCCATTCTTCAATAAAGTCACAGACACTGCAGGGAGTCTCAGAAATTATGTTTGGGGCGGGGGGGGGGGGGGGGTTCATTTCATGCTGGAGAAGCCGACATTAGGATGTGGTTAATTTGTAGGTGCTTTGGAAAAAATATTCTAATCATGTGTAAAGACCTCGTTGACTGTAAGGTTAAGAACATTTGTCATTATCCTTTAGGTAGAAGTTGTTAGAGCTGAGGTTCTAATCTCTTACCTGGATTGTCTCTATATCAGGCTGAATTTTATTCACAAGAGAAGCTGAAAAGTGATAAATTTCTCCATCTACTTCAGAAAATTGCTCATAATTTTTTTTTATAGCCATTTAGTCATCATAAGGTCACATCTTCCAGCTAAGCTAGGCTTAGACATATTTATTTATTTGTATTTAAGGGTGACAACAAACAATGTTTTAATTTTAACAAAAAATTATAGTCCAGGGTCTGCACTGCAGTTGCCACCAGGGTTGTGGCTAATTCCTGGAAGGTGTGAGCTCATCTGCATTAAGGAATGGAGTGCAGGATGAGTGAGCCCTTGATCCCAGGAAAAAGGGTCCATATATTCATCTCAGAGAAAAAATTGTTTATTAGCAGTTATTTGGATGTGCACTGATGAGTTTGGTGCGTTGTGTTTAATTGGTGGCTTGAGATCCTACATAAAATAGAATTGAAAACACAAACACCCACTGAGAAACACAAGCTCCAGTCAGTAACAGGTGAGTTTTTGCGTTTGCCATCTTTCAAGGGGGAAAAAAGTACAGTATGTTACGGAATTATTTCATTGAAAGGTGTAATAGATTTCACATTTCAAAAGCTTCCAAGTAGTTTACCAGTTTGCAATTCATCAAGAAATGCATTTGATGTTCCTCCAAAAGGCACTTTCATCACTTGTTCTTTCTCAGAGAACTTAAGTGAATATAAAGTCAAATACCCAATAAGTTGATAGAACAAAGGGTTGTTTCCTAGGGGGAAGAGAACAGAAATAATTCTTGAGGCAGCTTTGCCAAGTGTCTGGGGACAGGGCTGCTGCTTGGGGTGCAGTGTTGATGAGCAGCAGGGAAAGAAGCAGCCTCCTTCCCCTTTCCACAGACCTGCAGTCTGCACTTTTCCAGGGGCAGGACCTGGGATTGCACTGACAGGAACAGATGAGCCCCAGGCTCACAGCCTCCACCAGGCTTGGTGGACATCTGAGCCATGTGGAGTGTCAGAGAGGCCTCCTGGGAACCCCAACAGCTTTACAGCAAGGTGAGAAATATAAGAACCAGCATGGATGCTAGACGTCTATTTCCCCAATCAAACAGAGACTGCCAACAACACTGTTTCGACTATTGAAAGTTAATATGCTTAGCATATAAAATCAAGTTTATGCAAGAATGTTAGATTAATGTAGGATTTTTATCAAAGGTGCAGTATCTCTTAATGCATTGGACAACTTTGGAGGTCAGGGCTTTGCCTCGCTGTTGTGCTTTTGTTGTGACATTTGATCTGAAATCCAATATTTCAAATGGGGGCTCTCCTTAACAAAAGCTCTCCTTCAGGCAGCTAAAGTGACAGCTCTGTGCCCATGTCACAGCAGAGGTCCAAAATTCCACACAGCCAATGTAACCTGGGGTGTTTTGCTTCACAAAAGCTAAGTGTTCATGATCCTAAATATGAATTACCTAATTGGTAGTAGTTATTTAAGAAATAATAATTAGGCACATTGAAATAGTTAAGATATATAAGTAGTTTATGTTAAAATCATGCTTTTAAGCAGACATCAACAATGTTCAAATCAAAATCATTTGTTGGCTGCTAATTATTTGAGTCTGAGTGTATTTTTGGGTGTGTAGGTGTGGGGAGAAGTGACTTGAGCTAACAGCTGCAGGTGCTCCTGTAGTGAATGTGCACAGTGATGTCAGACAGAAAGAAACCCTTCTGGTATTGTGGGCTTGTCTCAGTGTTCCTTTGAATTGAATTATTTAAATCACCTACTATTGTTCCTAAATTAAATATTTAAGCTTTCCAAATGACTGCCATCCTGGTTTAGTTGTCAAGGTAAAGGTGATTGGTACTGACAGAAGAGCTGAGCTGGATGCTGGTGTTGGGAGTTCTCAACTCCTCAGTTTTTTTAGTGCTGCCACCACTGCGAGCCCAGCCCAGCACTGCACAGGGAAGGGATTTCCATGGGGATTTGTTTGCAGTGTCCTGGCTGGGCAGAGGAGTTTCTGGAGCTGGCCACCACCTCTGGAAGTACCACAAAAATGAATGTGCTTTCTATATGACCTGAGATTTCTCAGACTGTCTCTTTTACTTCTCTAATGTTTAATGAGATAATGAAGGAAACTCACTAGGGGAAGAGAGTCTACCAAAGTAATACATCCTTTCTTTGATTTGCATGGAGCTAGGTGTGAATTTTATGCATCTGTTCTAATTATACAGGGGGTTGTGTAGGTAATTTCAGAGTCCTAAGGCACTAAGGGTACCTTGCATGCAAAAACTTAAATTTTAAATGAGGAACTGATAAAATTGAGTGCCAGTTGATTGCCACCGTGGTGCTGAAAGGGCTGGGAATGTCAGATTCATCTTTGTAGCAGGTCTTTAGCTTTTTAAAAGACAGATGCTTACATTCTAGATACAGGTTTTCTGATTTTGGGGTTTTGTGGTGTCTCTTGCATGGACCTTGAAACTTTTGAGAGCATGTAGAAAATAAAAGCGATAATTTTAAAAATAATTTCTTAAAAATGAAGACTGGAGGATAGTCACATTTTCTTGACTATAACATGAGAGATTCTAATAATTTTAGTTATTCATAAAGCCTAAATAATTAGTCACTCTTGTTTGCAAGCAGACAGAGAGGCAATACATCCTGCATAACTAAGGTTAGAATTCTGTTTTAGTATTAAGTAGCATGAACACATTTATAAAATGTTTTTTAAAGAAGTCCACCTGGTACTTTTAACAGCACAGACATTATATATTTCTTCTCAAATCTTGTATCATCAAGCACAGATTCCATGCTAGCAGACTTTAATTGTAAGAGCAACCTGAATATTTTTAAACCCTTTCATTTGCTGGCCAGGCTGCCTTAGCCCATGTCCCTCATCAGATCTCCAGCACACACCTGAATATGAGCTGAGGAATAAGGCAAGGACACTGATGTCCCCAGAGTGCTCTACTGTCCATTAAGAGTTTATGGTAACTAATTTCTGAGCCACAGTTGCCATCTTTTGGCTTCTGTGTCCTACGTGGTTTTTGTTTTTCTCCATGGATGTGTCTTGTTTGCTTTTGACTCTGTAGCCTTTCAACTGACATTGGAAAGCAGAGGTTTTCTCAGTGTAAATTCACCACACCAGGAGAAGAAATACTTACTCTTGTTTGTTTTGAAACTAGCAACCATTTGCTTATATTCTTCTATGTTTTTAACCACTGCTTTAGAGATTGGAATGACTGATCCTGACACACACCTTGCCCAAGGCTGATTTTATTATCCTCTTCCAAGTCCTGTTCACTCGGTCCATCAAGGAGAAGCTAGTTGATATCTGACCATCCTTTGAACCTCCTTTTGTTTCTCTACACCCTTTTATGAGATGGTAAAGAGGGAGGAAAGCAGCACAGCAAGCAGCAGCCTTGACATAAGTGAAGCAGAGGTTTATGTATTGCCTAATGATGGCTTGTCTTTGTGCCCTGTGCCCAGCACAGGATTGCTCATATCAGTTTTCCTTTATTCTGTTGTTGTTTGTTTGCACTGTGCTGAAGCTGCCCTACAGCTGGCTCGGAGGTATGGCTTTTCCTGGTCATTATAGAGGTTACAGAGGCAGCCTTTGCTTATAAAAATCTGTCTGGGGGCTGAGGATAAATGTTTTCCATGTTCATTTCTGTCACAGAATTTCCTCAGCCATTCTTTTTTATATCTGAAAAATAATCATCTTTTCATCAGTTAGGTGTCACCAAGCCTGTGGTTCTTTCTGTGATCCTGAACATGTGTTGCTCTCCTTTGAGAACACCATTTACTGTCATGAGCAGTTGTCACCCCCTCCCTGTTAAGCCCCTTGAGCCTTCAAGATCAGGTCTGGAACTGGTGAAAATTGAGCCTGACATGGAGCCTGGCATTTTCCAGTTTCTCTTTCCTGGCACTGTTAGAGCTGTGCATGTGCAGCCAGGTGCGCTGTGGTGGGTGACAGCACCGAGCCCCTGCTCTGTCCTGCTGCTGCCTGGCACAGAGCAGGGTTTGGGGCAGGGCTGGCTGCTCTGTGTCCCTCCAGCTGTGGCTGCCACTGGGTCTGAGCTGCTGGTGTCCAGCTGCTGGTCCCATGAGGCTTCCAGAGCTGTGCCAGGGTCTTTGTTATTTCCCTAATCCCCACCCCAGGTAAGTGCTTCCAGCACAGGACCTCATTAACATTCTCCCACATCATCAGAGATACCAAGTAAGAATTTATTTTTCTGGTGGGAAGTCAAATATGCACTAAAAAGAAATGAGAACCAATTGTGAGTATTTTAATCAAAAACCTGCTAGAAATGGCATGGCATGGACATCCTGTTGCCCACTTTTATGGGAATTTAATATGACTCCTGGCTTATAGATACTATTAGAATATTTCCCTGGGCAATATGCTTGGTAGTGCAACAAGGACTGGAGCGCAAATACATTTTCACAGGTAAAGATTGTAAGGAAATTTTCTCTGGGAAAAGAAAAAATATGAAGCACTGAATAGCAGAGCAACATATAAACCATGCAGAAACACAGCTCAAAAGTGACCAGTTTTGAAATAAAGGACTTGCTTATTTTCATGAAAAGGAATTGTACTTATTTCAAATCCGAGGAATGTGGACACACATGTGACAAATTAATATCTTAGTAGTTTTGGACAGGGAAACTGACAAGGTCCTATCTTTTTTACATCAAAGTCCTAAAATCTGGAGAATTTAATCAAACCAAAAGTTCTCACTGAACTTTATAATTATGACAAAATAATACCTTCTTTTGTCCTTAATAAACCTGGCATCTATCAGCATTGTTAACACTAGGCCTTTGATTTATTGAAAATTATTTTAAATGTCACATACTCTCAGTACAGAAGGAATGATTTCTAGTAAGCCATCAAGATTGAATCACTCTGTAATTATAATAATTGTATTTACAGAGGAACAAGCTTCTCTCATAGAGAAACTATTTTAATTTGTTCTGCTGTTTGTGACGTCTCCTTTTTATTTGGTTGTGGTTTTTGTTTTTTTTTTTTTTGTTTTTGTTTTTTTGGGGTTTTTTTTCCTTAGTGAGTAGGTTAAAAAGTAAAAAGACAGAATTTTCCCCAGGTGACTGATTCTCCTCAGGCAGAATCCATATTTTAAAATGACTACCATAAATGTGATGTAGTAATAGACCTTCATCCCTAATGCAAGAACTGGCAACAACTGAGGCAGCCAAGGCCTCATTTTCTAGAATATATCTGGGGATGACTTTTTGTGGCTTTTTGTAGCAATCTGACTTCATTTCAAACCATAATCAGCTAATCACTGGCAATTTTCAGATATGACTCAAGCTAATTTCAAGACAATCTGCCTTAGTTTCATTGAACAGCCCTGGAGGTGATGTTTATGTTGATGTCCATTAGTATTCCAACTGACAGTAATATAAGCTCAACAAAAAGAAAAATCAAGAAAAACTAACACCAAACAAAAAAACTCCACACCCACAATAAAAGAAGGCGTCTGTAAAATGAACACTAACAAAAAGTCTGCCAGCCTGAAGTGCAGAAAATGGAAGTTTGGTTTTTGCCACCTGTGTTCCCCCAGCAGGTGACCTGAACCTGGGATGCAGCTGTGTGAAGAAGCAATGGGCCATTTAGATTACTTGCCCTGACTGGAAGGGGAACCTTAGCTTCTCTTCAGCACTGAATGTCAAAACGCTTGCTGTGCCTAAAACCATGGAAGCGAAGAATGGGGTTAGAATCAAGGCCTTACAATGTGCCTGTGACTTTTTGAAAGATCTCCTAGCTTCAAACCACAGACAACTTCCCTGCTATGCATCACTGAGGTATGTAAATGAGTGTAGAACTTGATTGATTGACTGACGGGTCTTTTATCTTACTTTTTGCCTTTTAACCATTACTTGATTTTTTTCTCCCTTTGCATCATATAGGTTTAGCTATACACAACTCCCCATTTGCAGATAAATAGCCCTCACAACACAGAGGGCTGGGTCTTTGAGTCATGCAGCCAAAGTGAGGTGCTGTGAGACTGAAGTGGGCCATTTAACCAAATGAGCAGCTTTCTTTCATGAAAACACTCTGTAAGTCCTTTAGTTTATGAACAGGATGGGTAAAACCTGTCCGTGGCACTGCTAAAGATATAGGGGGTGTTTTTGGCATCAGTTGCTGGGAAGGTAAACACTGAGGTCCATTTCTTGAATATTATTACTGCAGCACTAACCTCACTGAGAAGCAGTGGTTTCATTTTCCTTCTCCTTCAGTGTGCAGGAAATTCAGGTGCTGTCAGGTCCCTTGGCCTCTGCTTGGGAGCTGGGGAGAGAAACTTCTCAGTGCCTCTGTGCCAGGGACACACAGGGTCTGTCCCTCCCACCTCAGAGGCCTTGGTGGTCTTGGCATCTCCCATACAGGAGGAATAAGATGGAATTTTCACCCTAACTCTGATGGGGAATCCACAGAGAGAGGGACAGGAGTTTTTATTGAGGCTACTGGTATCTGATCAAATTTGAAAACAGCATATCCCACAAAAGCCCATGGAATATGCAGCACAAAATAAAAAAAAAAAAAAATATTTCAAATCAATCTCCACTTAAGCAGACTGAAATGAAGGGTAAAGAAGTATAACCCCAATGTGTTGGGCAATCAGATATTCTGTGCTTCATCCTGGGCAACACCAACCAGGAACAATTTCTGTGGCCATCTCCTGTTTGTATCTCAGTTAACTGTGATCACTGAGGAAGTGGACCTGGAGTCATAAACAATTTTACTCCGTGCACAAGGATGGTGGGATGGCAACCAGAGCAATGATGCAGCTAAAAAGGGAATACAGATTCATAGAAAAAGTTCAGAATGTCATTTCAGAAATCAGTGGTCCTTCACCCTCGATAGTGTGTTCTGCTGGCTGCATCTCAAAAATATGAAGAGCAGAAACAGGTCCACAGAAATAAATTGATTGGTTCTGTAGGAAAACTTTCATATGGAGAGAATGTGAAATGATAGTACCTGTTTATCATGGATGAGATAAATCAGACAGAACAAGCTCCTGTTAGACAAAGTAATTAATGGCATACTTGTTCTCAGAAAGGTTTTCTGTAACAATATTTTAATTAATATTAATTATGGTAGATAACAGCAGTTGTGAAGCTTGCACAGACCATACATGATAAACATCATATTGCATGAGGCATGTTGTAGGTCACATGTTACATACTATAACATAACAATTTACAGAATGCTATCTGTAATATATGTTATGTGGCATATGGAATAGAATATTCTGATGCATGATAATGGACCACATTAACTTATTGAAATATTACATTGAAATATTGAAATATTACATTATTGAAATATCCACATTACAGTATGTATGATGTGTGCAATGTATGATATATAATGTTATAGGCACATGTATATATAAAACAAAATTTAAAATGTAATCAAATGCAGACTTAATAAATTACCACCAAATTTCTTTCTGGTCACAGGTAACAAAGATATAGGAGATACATAAAAGAAAGGAATTTGAGGTGAATGAGAAGAAACCCTATAGATACATTAGATATAATTATGTAATTTCTATATGATTTTAGATTACATGAGTATGTGTGTTTTATGGAGCGCAGATGTCAAACTGTATGTCTGAAATGCATATTTCAAAAATACATGCACTAATAAGGCAAGTTATTAATTATTTTGGTATTTATAAAATACGCAAATGCTATACTCACGCACATATTTTTATATATAACATATATAGAAGAAGTGATGCCATCATGCTCTATATGAGCATTATTATAATTATATATATATATATATATATATATATATACATAATTATTATAATCAAGCATTATATGGCTTGATATAAAAAAGCAATTTTTCCCACACAGGCCATTCCCTAATTGACCGAATAACAAGGACTGAGTAGCAGCAAGAAAATAATTACTGTGGATTACTGAACACAACTTTTTCTGTGTGTCAATCTGAGACACACTTGAGATAGTTTTACATTGCCAGTGTCTTGAAGCAGTTACAGAAGAAAGCTTCTAAGGCTCTTCTTGGGGCAGCTCCCAACACACCCAGCCCCAGCTCATGTCTGATTGCAGTGGTTCTGTCATTCCTTTGTCACTGCCTGCTGATGCTGCAGCCAGAAGGGCAGGCTTGGTGCTCTCTGCCAGGGTACATGGAGTTGTTGAGAACATTTATGTGCATTTGACAAGAAACTTCTGCTGCCCAAGGAGGCTCCCAGCTCCCCCATGAGCCCCTCCTGCCCTGGCCTGATGGGCAGTGAGGGACAGTGTAGTGCCAGTGTGACTGGCCCAGAGAGTAATTTAAAATACCTTCCATGCACATTTTGCACAGCAGCGCTGCCACCTCCATAAATATTCATAGGAAGCAAATACAAGAGGAATTTGTGCAAAATGAATACATTTTAAAAGGGTTGCATAAAATATTCAGAGGAAATATGTCCTGCATGTACTAGAGGCCCAAATCTGGGGGTTACTGACACATTCCCTCAGCACTAAGCACCTGAGACAGGCCTTGGTCTTCAGCAGAACACGTACCCATAGCTCAGTACTTTGTGGATTACAGCCCTACCAGATTCCTTGAACCAGAGATACTCTGCTGGAAGCTCTTAAAGCATTCTTTTACTTCTGCTACTGCCATAGGTCAGATATTCAATGAGACTAATGTGGAACTCCGCTGTTTAAATGGAACAAATGGAAGAATATGAATACATTTTTGCTATTAAAATGAGAATTTTGTTCCACATTTAATTAATTTTTCATTAAAAACACAGCCCAAGTACTAGAGAAAAGTACTTGGGATAAAAGAAAAAGATAATGTCATGTTTGGTTGCAGGAATGCTAAGCCATATCCTTTTGGTCTCCTCTCAGAACTATCTTTCAGCAGGATTAAGATTTATTGAGCCTTGTTTGTTTCAGATGAACAATGGCTTCCCTTTCATAGCTTTTTGCTGGGGGGGAGGTATTCAGTCCAAAGGTGAGGAAATTAATCAATATCCCTTCCATTGGATGTTGATTTATCTCCATTTTGAACTCTTCCTTCCTTGAAAAATGATGAAATATTTTCATCATTTGTGTGTGTGTGTAGGACACCCAGTTAAGCCTCCAACAGAATTAACATTATTAACAGATGATTTCAAGCCATGGCAAACACAGGGGTCACAGAGCTCACCTTAGGCTGATGTGTGGAGTGTCTTGGGTATGCACATGTGTGCAATACCTGGCAGGCTCTGAGGAGCAGAAAGCAAAGCATGGGCACAGCCACCAAGCTGATAGAATGGGAAATTAAGGACAGGACAGAGTCCCAGCCTTCCCCATGCTCAGCTGCCCTGCCAGGGTGCAGCTCCTGCAGCCCAGTCTCATGGCAGGAGACATCCCTACCTGCAGTGACAATCCAAAATCCAAAGCCTCCAGGTGCTCTGCAGTCATCAACAGTACCACAAAGCATCCCGGTGATGCATCTTCCTGAAAAACACAGGCTGGGAATTATCTTGATGTTCATTAATTTATTAATGTGTCAGATGGCCACGCAAACACCTGAGTGGAAACCAGGAAAAGTCTTGAGCAAACTTCAGCTGCCTCCAGGCTAAAGTCTCAACTCTGAGTGCTCCTGGGATGGCTGGGGAGGGGGTACACAGAGACACAGTTGTCTCACATGTGCTCTTATTAGCACCCACTCCCCTACTGCCATATGGCACCTTATGGTGAGATATGCTGTAAACAAAATTGCAGAAGTCTAAATAATATTTAAGTAAAAGCAGCATAGACCCAAGTGTTTCTTGGTACAGCTGAGAGTTGTAGTTGTTCCTTTTCATCATTACAACTAAGTCTGCTCAGCTGCCCTTACAGTGAGTTTCATCTCTGTCTAATTCTTTTCTGAAGTTAGAAGTGAGAGTTCATTTGATAATAATCAATGAATCACACACTATTGGCACTGGGTTAGCTGAGTGCTGCTGTGGATGGCAGCTCAGCTGGCCTTCTATTGTAGTAAAAAGATTGAATTTTCAGTAAAACTGGCATCCTTGTAGGGCCTGTGGTGAATTACAGCACCTATGGGAAGTACAGCCTTTCCTAGCAAGGAAAAATGAAGTGAAAAGCAATTTTCAGTTAAGAATTTCCTTTCTTCAATACCTGATAGATTCTGGAGCAAATCTTCAAGTTTCTTTGTGCCAGACACCCACAAACAAGGGGCTGCACAGCTGCAGCCCTTCCTGGAGTAATAGGTCAGTGCAGCAGTACATAGAGGGAGAGATAAGACCATTAAAGTAGCAGTGGTTACAAACGTTATTCACAGAGTCACAGAATATTCTGAGTTGCAAGGGACCAATAAGGACCTTCAAGTCTTCAAGTCCAGCTCTAAAGTGAGTGGCCCATAGAGAGATTGAATCTACAGCCTTGGTATTATTAGCACCAGGCTTGAACCAACTAAGCTTATCTCAGTGACAAACAACATTTCAAGGAGATTTTTCTTTTTTTGGTTGTTTGGAGACTTGTCTTGTGAAGCAGGATGTATAGGTAGCACTTCTAGACAAAATCTAGTCAGCTTCAGCATTTGTTTAACACTGGCAAATCACCAGCTCCTGTGGATTCCATCAGACACTTCTATTGATTCCTGTCATGCCCACACTAAAACCAAACTAAAGCCACCATTTTTCTGTCTCTTTTCAGTAACTCTTTCCACTCATAGCATTAACCACAATAAAGGACTATGCTGCAATCACTATAACTATGTGTTACACCTGCATTTAACCTGACACAAGAGACAATCCAGAAGAAAATAAAAGAAAACCTAGCTCTAAGTTGGGCCATACCTTTTTCTAAAAAATGAGTGTTAAACTCTGTGAAGTTAATTGCCAATTTATTTTTTTTTTTGGTCCCGCTCCATCCCTGTAAGGATGCTTTCTTACTTTTTCCTGCAATTGACCTAAGCCTTGTTCTCTGCATGCCATAGTAATACAGTGTATGTGTCAATCAGCTGTACTGACATACATTTTGTCGTAAGTAATTATGTTTGGCCAGATAAAATTGTACAGTTAAACTTAATTATCACCAGATGTGTTTCAGTACAGCCTTTCAACCCCTGAATTACTCAATACGCTCTCGCTCACACTTTTGCTGTATCTCATTAATTGACTCAGTAAGCAATCCCAGACAGCTATCTGCAACCAGAATGAGGGAGGTACTAAGATGTGCACACAGGCCAGGCTGTGGCTTTGCCTGGCAGCTTCAGGAGCCTGAAAGCCTGGCTTTGGAAGGGGCAGGCTTATGGTTCTGAGTTACTCCAGTGCCTTAGGTATTACCTGCTCCCTCCTAGGCACAGCTCCACTGGAATGTGGAGGTGGTTTTGTTTGCATCCCCATGTATGAGTCAGAGGAAGCTGGGGACAAGAAACAAGAGCTGAATACATCAATGTTACCTTTCGTGTGGGTGAATAGAAGGCAGAGGAGGAGCTTGGCCTCACAGCTTGACTTTTGGCTCCCAGGACAGTCCCAAGGACACTTGTCTATGTGGAGTCCATGGATCATTGCTGCTGTCAGGGCTTTTGACCCAAAGAGCTCCTCGGATGTGAGGAGCAGGAAGATCCTTTGAAAAGAGAGGAACCAGACCACTGAGACATTTTCTCTCTCAATGTAATTAAGTTCTTACCTTTTTTTTTTTTTTCCTATATCTTCCAGCCACTTCTTTTCTAAACTTGCACTTCTTCTAGTAATGATGTATCCCACTGGAGGGAAAAAAGGGAAAACTTTTATTGTTTACCTTGGAATCTTTGGTGAATTTATTAAAGGTATGATAAAATACTTTACCCAAGGACCTCGTGCTTGCTATTAAATACTTTACCCAAGGACCTCTGCAACACCAAATTCTATGCAGAAGAGAGAATTCAGAAGGCACATGCTTTGTTATTTAAAAAGATAATAATATGAAGGCAACAAATCTTCATAATTCAAACTATACTAATGGCCAGATTCTATGCTCAATAGTGAGCTCTCTCTTCATTTTGTACGCCAAAGAAATTGCTAGATAGGCTTACTACAGTAAATTCATACTGGACATTTCTTTCATCTCCATACCAAGAACAATGTAAAAAATGAAGTCATAAAAATTCCCTCCCTTAGAGAAAACTTCAAATGATGAAGGTAACACATTTTTGACAAGTGTTGGCCCAAAAGGCCTGGGAGAACAAGGTTTAAACTGAAGAGGTGGAAGAAGGGTGGGAGGAGGGGTGTGGAATGATATTGTCAATTAAACCCTGGGTGAGGGAATGAAAAATGACATCACCTGCATATTTCTGACACCCACGCCAACACACAGGGCTGATAAACACTGCAAATTCCAGCTTGGTGAAGTGGGACACTAAAGAGTAGATTTAAAGGGACAGTTTCTCAAACATGATCTTTTAGAGGGGGGAGAAAGAGAACAATAAAATTTATTGGCTGTGTTGTATGTTTGATGCTCATCCAAAATTATTTTGCCTGGCTCCTGAAATATTAAGCTGCTTGCCTTGGAGGTGATCATTCTCCCCCATCCTTTGCTTATTGCTTTCTTTCCCTCCCACAGTATGAAGCTCCTTGAAGAAAAAAAACAAACAAAACTCACCACTTTGAATGAGTTGCCTCATCTTCAAGAGACTTTTATAAATGGAAGGATTAGAGGTATACAGAGAAATTAAGGACAGGAGGGAAAGGAAGACAGGCATTTATTTTATTCTGTACGTGCCATGTCACATAAACTGTCAGGTGATCTCAAACTTGTGTTGTGCTCATGCTTCTCGCTACAAATCAATGATCTTCCTTGAGAAGGTGAGGAAAAATCTCCCTTGGAAGCCAAAGGATTTTAGAAAGCAATTACTGAGCCGACAAGCAAAGAGTTCATGGCTTGCCTTTGAGCCCTAGATAACAGAAGCATTTAGACACCTTAGACAATCTAAGCCTCTAATATGGGGTTATCCACCTCTGGCTTTTACTGAGTGGGCACAGACAGACCTCCAGGGACAGGAGATGGGCACAGGGCAGCAGCTCCATGCTGAAACCTCGTGATTGAGGTAACTGCAGCCTTGGACACCCATGAATTGTGCTAGCAGTGCTAAACAGCAAACACCTGGGTGGTGCCTGGAAGGTCAGATCTTTTCCCAGCCCTGTGGTCACTGCTAGTGAGGAGCAGCAGGGAGGGCCCAATGCAATGCACAGACTCTTGAAAATCTCAGTTTTAGAGAGAAGGGAAAAAACTTAATAATAATTACAGATAAAATGAAGTTTGTTCAGGAAGGGCTAGCTTCCAAAACTAGAATAGGCTCCTTCTACTCCAGCAAAACCCCTCTACAATAATAGAAATTTGACAATTCCCTGTCTACTCTTCAGAGCAGCGTGAGTCAAGCATGGTGTGACCTTCTGCCCTGCAAACTTCTCCAAGCCCCTGGCTCAGGGATTCTCCTGCAGCCCCCAGGGCAGCCCCTCAACCCCTGTGCCTCTCACAGTCCTGCCCAGGCCCACCAGGTGCCCACCACACCTGGCTGGCTTTCCCCAGGCTGGGCAGGGCTCCCTGCTGCCCACTGCCCCCAACCCCCCTGTTATAAGATCTGGCACAAAATGCATTTGCAGCACCATATCCATGGTTACAGTTAAAGAAAAGCAATTTTCCCCTCAGGAGGTGAGTCCTCTGAGCTCCTTTGCATAGTAACCTCATTGAGCAGCTCCAGAAGCACAAGGTTATTGCACTTACTTAATATGCAATCCAGCACTGTGTATTTTCATACTTAATATGCAGATCTAATTGCTTGCCTGCATTTTGATTACCTTCTCTTCCTGGAATTTGCTCTTGTGTGGCTAATCCTAGTGAACTTCAAAGCATGAACTCGGTGGCTTTTATTTTTTTATTTCTGCAGTTTGTGTCTGAGGCCAATGTCAAAACTCTTTGTAAGGATCGTGACTTATTTTTTTTAGTTTATAAAAAAAAATATTCTCTTAGAAGTCAGTTGTCTTCTTTTTTTTAACATCAGGACCTTTACTATTACTGACCTGGAAGGTTACCCATTTGGTCTGGCCTTAATTAGCACTTGCACATTAAGTCTCCTGCCAGCAGCATCCTCAGTCCTGCCTACCTAATACCAGCTTCAAGAATGGCTCATATGTAATTCCTTTTAAGAGAAAGGCTATTCTTCATTTCTGAGTGTAAATGCAAAGCAATTTGTCTAAGTACTTCTCTGTCTCAAACTGCTAAACCCAACCCACACAAATGCATTTCCCTGTAAGTGCCCCCACTTCCCACACTCTCCCTCACTTTTCACATCTTTTCCCATTATCCACCTCACCAGCAATAAAATGCAATCAATTTGTTTGCCTCTTTGGATGTGGTGAGTGTCTACATTAAATGCCACCTTGTTTAAAGATACAAAAAAAATAAAAAAGAAAAATAGCCACAGAACAAACTAATCTCCCTTTCTAAATATAAAATAAAAGCTGTCTTATTTTTAGGCTTTGCAGCAGCTCATGTGTCATTTTCATCATTTCTTTCTCTCTCGATGACTGAGAAGCAGTGAGAGGAGGCGAGAAAAACTTTTTTATTTTGTTCCCTCTGGAAAATACATATTCAGAGCTTTCTCTAACCTGATTTCCTTCTCTATTAAATCATCCATAGCCAAAGCTAAAATGAACCTCAATAACCTGACATATTTGTCAACTTTTTGTAAAATGTGTGTCGGTGATTAGACTAATATAAGAGCACCAGCAATGTGAATCATGGAGGCTGTAATTTTAGTGCTGTAAATCATTAGATTTGCAGCTCATGGCAGCAAATTAAGGGAAGCAGGGCTTCCAGGGCTGGTTGGGAGCAGGCTGTGAAGTAGGGCAATTTCGTCAGAAATGAACCATCCCTTTACCCCAAGAGCAAAGGGAAGAAGAAGTGCAAAAATCAATTTTAGGCAATACTGGGCCCATTCATTATCTTGCATGAGTCACACAGGACCTGACTCCTGCTCAGTGAGACCAACAGTGAGATGTTCCAGCAATTTCAAGGACAGCAGATCCAGCCATTAACTCTTTCAATTTCTTGGATCCCTCATGAATAAGAGGAGATTTTTCTTCCCCTTTTAGATTTTTTTTCAATACCCTTCAAAGGGGAGGTACTAACACCAGAGGAGCTTTGAGCTCCTGCTCTTGAGACTTAATTTCCCCAAAATGACAAGGTGTACCTTTACAGACAGCAGCATTTCTGGCAGATATCAGCTCAGTGAACACAGGTGGTAATTCATTCTGATGTCTGGATGTCTCTGCAAATGATGTTTTGGTAGCCAGTGTACTATGCTGGTAGAAACATCCAGCTGGGCTGCACAATTACAAACACAACTTTCTGTGACTTAAATATTTGACTTTTAGCTTAAACTACCAGGAAAAAAAAAAAAAAAAAAAGGTGAATGCTTAGTTCATACTACCACAGCTGCTTTGCATCAAAAAGCCTTTCCAGTGTGTAAATACTGATTTTTTTCTAAATGTATTGACTACCCTAGGAGAAGAAAGCATGAATACACCAAATAAACATGCTTGAAATCCATTTTTCTGTCCTCCCAGCTGTGGTGAAGGAGGTTATTGGGGAATCTGTCAGCTGATGCACATTACAGTGATGTTATTTGTCTTTTGGGACCTTTGGCTGTTGATTAGAAGTTGCAAGAGTAACGAGGGAGGGCAGAAGGGCTGGCTGTGCTGTGCCCTGGGTTTGTCCCTGTGCTCCCGAGCAGCAGCTGGGATCTGCCACCACACACGTGCCTGAGCTCTGTGAGCATCTCCCCCTTTCAGTCCTAGCACCAAGCCTGTTGTCTTGCCCTGGTAGTTAACCTGGCTGTTTGCTGCCTAATCCACAACACCAGCTCCCCTCTTAATCCCCAAAATGCAGCCTGAGCTGTCCCCTGGTTCTTGCTTGAACCTTTCCTCAGCCATACACAGCCCTGGTCCCTCTGTGCTGGACATGCACCACCTTCCATCACAATCCTACCCTTAACAATAGAACTTTTCCTTTTTCCCTCAAAGGCTGCCCATGTCTCTAGCGGAGGAGCTGGAATAAATACTCTTTCAGCACATAGCGATCAATTAGAGCTGGTGCTTCCTCTGAATGTTTCAAAGTCCGATAGATCTATTAATAGTAAAGAGTCAAGGCACCTCATTTCTGAGTACTCTAAAATCCAATTTCAAATCTGGCTGTCCTGGATTTCTATGGAAAATTATCATGCATAAATTTTTGCTAAGCTGTGTTTCTTTATCCTGATGTTATCAATCTTTGGTGTTTATTTGTTCAATGGATAATCTGGATTCTGCAGCAGACTGTCCTCATGACTGATACAAGTTCCAAATTGAGGAAAATGTCACTCTACCAAAATAAAATCACCAAACCCCACAAAAATCTCCTGAGATTAAAAAAAAAAAAGGCAGGAGAGATTTAAAAGTGAGAAGTCGTGAAGGATCTTTTGCAGAACTCCAGTACTGGACACTTAGGAGTCACAATTTTCCTTTAAGGACTGCAATTAACCATCCAGCAATTAACCTCCAGCCTTGTCAGATGAGTTTTACTCTACCCTGGTCATCAGCCACAGCTGGTTGAGGCCCTGAAGGGCAGTACAGGAGCTACATTTAGCTGGTTTTAACTCACAACAAGTGTATTAGGAGAGGAATTGGTGCCCTACAGGTCTTTTCTTCATATATTCAAGGAGGTAGCTTACTTTCATTTGCAAAAAAGAGAATATGTGGCTGGATAAATGATGATGTCTAATAACATGCCCAATTATAATAGTACCCAGTCCCTTTAGGAGCCTTCAGGTACAACATAACATTGCCTCTTAGCTGTATTTCCCTTTAATATTCACTATTTACCTATCCTCTTACAGAAAGTCTCATCACAATTAGAAATTTCAGTTCTTGTTCATTAACACTTAAAACAGCATAACGTTAATGGTAATTGGACAGAGCAAACAAAAAAATCCTGCTTTTAGAATGATAACTCCTTCTGTGTGCATTACCATTCTTCTCCTAAGTACGGTATGGATCTTTTACATTGTATATTGTATAATAAAAGAGGAAAAAAATAGATAAAACACTGTTTCTGAAAGCTAGAATAAAGATTTAACAAGATATCTTTAAAAATAAAGCATTAAAAGTGAGAAAAGCTGAGAGTGGAGAAATTATTTTGTAAATTTTTGCATCCTTGTGTGGTGGAATTCACTTTCTCATCACAGACTGGATTTGTTCCTCTGTTGTGCTCTGTTCTGGCCATAATGCTACAGGCACTGATAAAGATAAATGGTGATAAAGAAGCAGGAGCAAAAATAGAAAAACTATGAAAGATGAGGGTTTTCTGTCCAAAATAGGGACTTGACTTTTAAAGGTAACGACACCAAATACAGATCAATAAAGGAGAAAATTAGACTTGAATTAGGTCCTGCAATGAATCTGTGGGACTTTGGTCTTATTTAGCTAATTCCATCCAGCCTGAGGAAGTCAGACTAGAGAGAGGTTTGTGTGAACAAGAATCTCCGAGCCAAACCAAGGACACCAGCTGCATGTCTGGCCCTGTTTCTTAGCCACAGAACCAGTACACAGGAAAAAATGTGCATTGGATCTTCTGGAAAAGCAGAGATTCAGATAAACCACAGGGACTGTGAGACCAGAACCAGATGGAAGAGATGCTGAAGTGTGGAATGAACTCCCCAAGGACAAGATCTTTGCAACCAGGGCTAAACCCAACTTCTTGTTCAGACACTATGGAAGACTCCTTTGCTATAACTGTGAAAATCCAAATTGCTCTGCTTTATTGTACTAACTCTTTTCTTCTTCTTTCAGATGTTAAACAGGAACTATACACCCCTGAAATAAGTTAGTATATGTCATTCATCCTGAAACTTCTCTACAATCAGCTCCCCCTTATAAATAATAGCTTGTTCCTCTGATCAAACAGTAAAATTTGGGGCACATCCAGAGCTATGGAACAAAATCCACACCTCCTGAGCAGTAAATCATGCCTTGGGAAGTCTCCTACCCATGCTAAGAAACCACTGATAAGCATAGCTGTCTAAACAAACAGGCTAAATGGAACTTATTATTTTTTAGTATAGTTTAATGATCTTGTATTTAGCCATTTTTCAAGTAAAATATCTCTCTCTACAATAATTAAATAAGAGTAATTCCAGGTGTATATGAAGAACAGTGCAAAGTTCTGGGTCCAGAATGATTTGATTTACAAATAATATGAAAAATATCATACCTTTACTGTAGAGTTTCAAAGAAGAGCATATATATAGGTGTCATATATATCTAAAAGAAAATTAAAAAGACAGAAGATTAGGGTAGAATTATAAACTTGCTCAAAGATAGAATTTTGAAATTGGATAATTTTAAAGCTTTTCTCTTTTTAAAGACAGAAATTTATTATATTAATACTCTCCAGCTGAGGTGCTTGTTTAAATACGTTATCTATATCACAATTTTCACAAAAAAAAAAAAAAAAGAAAAAAAAAGAAAAAAAAAAGAAAAACAAAAACAAAGAAAAAAGAGTAACACAAAAGGCACGATTATCCTGAAAAGACACTTCTATATATTTTATGTATTTTCCACCCTGGACTTCTATTTCTGTCATGCAGTCCACATTCTCTTAATATGGAAAAATGGAATGAAAAACAAAATTTCTTGAAAATATTTTCTCTGTTACAATTTCAAATCAAATCAAATTAGTTTGGAGTCAGACAAGTCTTTCAACAAGAAGGCTAAAAAGCAGATATTAGTCACAAAATACCCCAGAGGTTTACTATATTTTAATATCTACAGAGGCATCTCCAGGGCAGGAGCTCTTCATTCTTTCTGTCTCAGTTTCTTGACCTCTTGATTGGGAGACTAATTTCTATGCATCAGAATGTTTTTAATGAGAAATATTAAAAACATCATTACTGTGAGAAAAATTGGAGTTTTTTGAAAAACACATAGTGATATTGTATTTAAAACTGTCTTTATAAAGACTTTTTTCTTCTAATTCATTAGACATCTCTATTCACAAGACCTAAAAAATGATAATTACCCCTGACATAGAATTTAAGTTGAAAATTGAAAATATAAGCTTGAAATTAAGACTACAGTACAAGAAAGCTTCAGTAATAAACAGAGAGTTTATAACAAAAAAAAAGTCTTTGCAGTAAAAGTTATAGGAGAAGAAAAACATTTCAGGAGAATTTTCAATAGTACTTTTCCACAGCATTTTCTGTAAAGAGCCTGCACCAAATTTTATCTCCAAAGACCAGTAGTGTTAACCACTGATTGAGTCTTTATATCAATCATATCCAAATTTCCCAGATTGTCTAAAAATATCAGTCATTAAACTCGATGTCAGGTAATCTTATTAAATCCACAGAAACAGGGTTTTCTATTTATTTCTTCTGCCTTTTTAATCTCCATTTTTAACCCTCTTAACCAGCAGTTTGGGCCCAGAAAGGATAAGGACTCTCTCTAAAAACTCTACATGTAATTTCTCAGCTCTAAACAGGAAAATATACTCACAGTACACATAGCTGCATTTTTTCTGCCCTGTATGGGGGGTTTGGACCCCATTTGCAACACTTTGACTCCAAAACCCTCCTACCTTTTCCTCCTGGTAGGCATTAACAAATAGGCTTTGATGCCATTGTTCCAAGGTGACTGAAGTGTGCAGTTCATTGACCTGTTTTTTTTTTGAGGGCAAATTGCACACTAAGGTTCCTGGCTTTCCATGAGGGTGAGACTGCTTTTTTTTTTTTTTTTGTTTTTTTTTTTTTTTTTTTTTTTGTTAAACCAGCCAAAATATTATTTCTATTTTTAATGACCTTATAATGGGGTCAGCATATTCTGTTTGACATGTTTAAGAGCAATGGAAAAATTACTCCACTGCTTCCCAGCATGTCTGATGCCAGAGCAGTTAAATTAGCATTTTTTGGAAATATTAAATTCACCCATGGGTACAGCTGTAGACATTCATACAAGTTATTAACATAAATAAAAAAGAAATTATTCTAACAGTTGAGCTGACCTATGATCGAATTACTTGCTGGCAAGTCCCACCATATATCAAATAACTTGTTTTTATTCCTTAGCAAAAGTGATGCTTGACAGAAGAGCAGTGGATAAAATATTAGAAGAGAAGTAACCAAAAATTCTCTGGCTTTACAAGAAGGAAAAATTGGTGCTATTTTACAAAAATAGATTAAAAAATATATATAGCCTTGGAGAAAAAACTCCAAAAACTATGATCTTGATATATGCCAGTTAAAATTCATCTGATTCCCCCCACTTTCCCTCATAAATCAAAACTGAATACACAGATCCCAGGGATGAGGAGCAGGTGGTAAAACAGCATAAAAATCTCTTTTCCATACTTCCAGAGAGAAGTAATTTCATGTTGAAAGGAATGGGTCATTTTTACTGCTGGTTTAGCCACATGGCTCCCAGGTACCAATTTTGTGAAGTATTATCCATTTTTACTGTGGGTCATTTGTTTTCCCTGCAGATCTCCTTGAGCCTGACAGAACTGATACGCACGGATTTTTTCCAGTTGTGCTTTTGAGCACATGATGATGATTGGGCAGGTTATCCTTCCTTTAATCTGCACAAGGCATGGCAGAGAATGCAGGAATTGTATCCTCTGTAACATAAAATGCTTCCCCAATCCCAGCACCTGAAAGAGACACTAATGCCCTGTAAATTGCCCATGTCCCACATTTCCCTGGGCCAGCTGTAACTGCTAAAACCAAACCCACTGGGCACAGGTAGCTCAGAAATAGATGTACATAGCTGGAGATTTGCTATAGAAAAGCTGATAGCTTGGATTCACGTGAGAATAAGAGCCTTGTGCTTGAACAGAAAACCTCTTTCCCTTATTAACCTCCATACTTCGGCCCCAATTATATAAAATATTCTGATTTTCTTGTTTTTTTAGTATATGCTCTAAATCTTGAGGCACATGTCCAAGTCAAAACTTAATGGTATCAAGACTAGCAAGTCAAATACCCCTGAGAGCCAAGGGATGGAACTTGGGTGTCACTGAGACCCTGGATTAAGCAGCGACCTCATGCCACTGCCACAGAAGGCCCCTGGAGACAGTCCAAAACAGAGATCCCAGCTGCATAAGACTTCCAGATTTTCTGCACTTATTTATGAGAGAATGGGATGGCTGCTGAGGCATTCACTGAGCTATTGCCAAGGCAGGGTGTGCAATCCTGGGACCAAGGGCAGGTCTGAGAGGGAAATTCTTCTCGCTCATGGAAGGTAAGGTTCAACCCCCAGACACAGGAAGGGAAAAACGTCATGACAAAACACCCCAAGAGAGAGCAAAGCAAAGCAGAGCAAGGCTGAGCAAGCATTCTGATTCCATGATCAGTGTATTCAATCACGCAGCACTGGAGAATTAAATAGTATTCAGGAGGCTGAGTGCACTGAATAGAAATTCATATCAAGTTCATTCTACGGTATCAGACATGGTTTGTCACCACGCAAGGAAATGTATTTGAGCTACATGAAGGCTGATGCCTTATGTTTTTTAATAAAGTTGAGGACAGATTACAAACCTTTGCCTTCAGCCCCAGCAGTGCATGGAAGCTATTTCCTTTGACATAGTGAATAACTTGCCTTTTTTGAAGTTGCAATAAGATAATGTAAAAAGCTTTGAATACCACATAATGTGAAGTGGTAAGGTGTTAAACTACAGCATCTGAAAGAAAATACTGTTGGGTATAAAAGAGATAGGACACTAGAGCAAAATAGACCAGCAGAATTAAATCCAAAATGACCATGTGGTACCAGTCTAAAGGGAAGAGTAGACTGAGGTTTTCTCCTTAAATTATGGCTTCTTGGAAAGTTCTAACATTTTAATACAGTGCTCCTGGTTCCTATCTATGTGCTAGGGGAAAAAAAAAAAAATCAAACCTAAAAAAACCAAAACAAAACAACAAAGCAAACCGGCTCTGGAGCACCCTCCCTCTAAACAGTAGACATGGAAGACAAGTGAGGATAGGCATCAGGAACCAGCTACTGACCCAGTGAAGGGAGTGAAAGATTTTTGTCTCCAGGAATTTCAGAAGTTTATATCGGTATTGGGATAAAAGCAGGAAGGTTGTAGGTGCCACAGGAATTATATGACACAGTTGCTGACAAAAGTCTACTAATCCCTGGAGGCACCAAGTATTTTGAGACCTTTTGTATCGGTTATATCCAGTCTAAAACTCACTGGGCTTAGAGGCACAGCTCCCTTAAGGGGCATCTGCTTCTTTTTGGGGATTTCCTTTTTACTATCGCACACACTTTAATTTAATTTCTTAATTTCAGCCAGTGTCGATGCTCTCTAAAGAGAGCTTTTGAATATTGCAAAGCAAGACTTTGCAGAAGCAGCCTTCAGAAAGCTGTTTAAAGGTCTTTATCTGTCTCAGTAGAGCTGGCATCCTCCCACCACAAAGCTTTCCAAACACAAAAGTGTGCATTTCAATGGTGTCTCAGAAGAGGCATGTCAGCCTTCAGGGCTGGTTCCTCCCAGCCCTGAGGAGGCTGTACAGCAGATGTAGGGAGCTAAATCAAGCCAGTTGATTCCTGTGCAGTGTCATGGCTGTAAAATCCTCCACGAGGAACAATGTGGAAAGCAGTTGTGTTTGTGCATTCATCATGCATGCCATGACAAATGACAGTTTTATGGTTAAATGCACTTGGATGGAAGGTTAAGGTTCATCTCTCTCCTCTGCCCTAGACTTCATATATCACCTCGGGTAAAACTGGGAGTCAAATAATACCTTAAACAGCAGATTTACTTTCCCCTGCCTTGTCTTTTCAAGTGTGCACTAGCAATCCTTCCCAAGCTTGTCTCTTTACATTAGGCACGTACGCCTGGAGCTTTGCTTGGAGCAAGGGGAAGCCTCAAGTCAGGCAGGGACCCTGGCAGCTGCAGTGAAAGCAAAACCAAGAGCACAAAAAGCAGGCAGTACCTGAGCCGAGGTCAGCTCCAGTGAAGACTGTGTTGTGCTGTCCCTTTCTGGTGCTGAGCACTTCCCTGGGTCAGATCTCAGCTGCAGAGAGCTCCTGCAAGAAACCAGGTCCTTATGTTATCTCAGAGTTGTATCAGAACGAAGATTTAATTAAGGCACTGGCAGTTCCTAGGGCATTAGACATATAACAAACAGGTTTTACATTCTTGTTTAAAAGTGTGAGTTTCAAAATACTCATAAATCTGTGAGAAGTAAGTGCACATATTCTGGGCATGCAATGAGGAATGCAATGGCCAAGGAGTTTGTTAAGGCCAAATAAACTGAAACAGAAAAATCATTAAACCAAAATGTTTTTGTCATTCTTGTAAACCCACAGGTAAGATTCTTTTATGAAACCTATGAACCTTTATAAAACTTAATATAAATTTTTATGAAAACAAGTAGGCAGTGAAAGGATGGGGATTTTTGCCAGCTGACCATTTAGCACTTTGTGTCTCTGCTCCATTATATTTTCATGTTAAGAACAAATGTGTTTCTTAGGTGCAGAGATTGGTTCATCACTTCCTTATCCTGTCATGTTTATATAGCCCTCAAAAAAACTGAAGAACTGTGTGTGTTAAGTACATGAAGATTTCTAGTAAGAGTGACATTTCATGGAGCTGCTCATTCTTCTGTGGATAAAATAAGTTCTGGATCTATTTTTTCCAGCATGGTGAAGATAAGGTGGATGCTGGATAATGATTACACAGAGGCTGTATATGTAGTGTGGGCATGATAAAAGCTGTAGAATGCAGAGATACTGCACATGATTTTTAGGTTGTGAAAAAAGAGTTCTGTGGAGTTGTGTACATTTTGCCCTGTGTACTAAAAAAAAAAAGGATTTATTAAATAGGCTGGAGGGCATTCTTTAAATGTACCTTGAAAGTACTATCTACTTAAATAGACTGAAATTATGCTCTCCCCTTTGTAGCTGCCAACCCAGAGATGTTTTAGAGGCCTTGTTTGTTCTGCACACACAGATGTCAGGCAGATTTTGCTGCTTTACTTCCAACAACTAACCAGAAGCCACATTTCTCCACCAGTAATAGCAGCTACAGTTTGGCACATGGAATAGGAATCAGAGAGAGACAAAAAACACACTCCAGGAGAGCACAGCACCGTCTTCAATTAACAGTACTTACCACAAGAATAATAGAAGGTGTGTTAGATTGAGGTATAATTCAGGCAAAAGAAAAATGTATTGGCTAGAAAAGATTGTAAGAAAAATCAGGGCATGGATTACCTATGGCACAAACAGCTTAGAGAAGGAGAGAGTCCTGAGTCAGGATTTCCAATGTTTATCTCCCTGCTGAATTCCCTTAGCAGTGTAATAGAACATTCCTGGGTGCCTCATACCTCTCCTCAGCATGTGTTTCCATTTCTCCTTCTTTTTTGTTGTTTGTGATGACTTGTGGGTTTTTCCCTCCTCTAAATTTTTCTTTCTTCTTTATATCTGTTTTTATCTTCTCTCATGCTTTCATTCATTCCTCTTTCTCCATCTCCTCTCTTGTACATTTATTCTCTTGTTGGCAGTTCTCTTACTCCCATTCGGAACATATTTATTTTTCCAGGTATTTTCCTCTCCCCTGTTTTTGGCTTTTTTTTTTTTTTTATTTTCAGAGTTGCTGGAGATGCAGACAGTGCTGCAAACCTCTGGGCTGAGCTGCTCCTTGCTAGGAACGGGGTGAAAAAAAGAGAGCAGGAGCAGCTGCCTGGATTGTGAGCCTCTGACCTGCTCCTGTTTCTGCAGGAGGGTGCCTGGGGTGAGGAGGGGAGACCTCACTGGGGAGGGGGAAGGATGTGAGAAGCTCACACTGAAGCCCTGACCAGATCCCAAAGCTTTTCACAGACATAAACTGTGAACTATCCAGGAGTGGTCTCCTGGTAAAAGGAGTCACTCGTTGCCAGGTTTGGGAATTTTGAGCACTTGGAACATTTTTTCAGACATGCTGCTCTTCAGGCTAATTATATCACAATTTTCATCCAGAGATGAAGGTCATTTGATGCACTGAGCTATCATCTAGGACCTGGGGGCTTTGGAGTGACAATTGTCCATTATGAACATCAGCTGTGCTTCTTCCCAATTATGCTAAGGGATGTTAAGCTCTAAGAGAGACCTGAAGAACAAAACTTGCCAGAATGTGGGAGATTGTACCACTGAGAGGCTCTGGCAGGCATCAGTTGGATCAGCCATCAGGCAGGATTAACCAGCCAAAGATCAGCCCCTAGAAAACCCCTGCAAACTGAAATTGCCAACCAACTTCTCCTTCAGCCACTCCCTGAGGCTTTAAGAGTTATCCTGTTTTAATAAAAATGCAAAGCTATTAATAGAAGTCTCCACATAGAAATTATTTGTGCTGATTCCATTTCCTAGTCCTATAGCTTTACAGAGTCTTGAGAAAAGCAGATATATCTTGATCAAAATCTTGCATTTTTCAGAACAGAAAAGATGCAAAATGTAGGAAGACGTTTGTCCTTCAGGCTAAAAAAAGAGATGAAAAAATATTAGTGCCTCATTAGCCTTTTTAAGGCTTTTGGAAAAGCCATTCCCATGGCCAGAGACAAGCAGTGAGAATGTGGCTGTGTATTTACACAGGTTCTGGTGTTAAAAAACACCTCAAGGTGGCCCTCAGACCAGAAGATCCCTGTATCACCATCCACTGGCTGCTGACAGCTTTGTGGTGAAAGGCTGTTACAGCAGTGGGTGAAGAAAAATATTCGGTACATGGTTTACTGATCTGCAGTGAAATGGTTAATTTTTGTGAGTTTCACTGCACATTCATTACGAGGCAATTTGGCTGGAAATTTAATAGGATTATTTTTGACTGTTGAGGTTAATGGCATTACCTGTTTGGCTTTTATAAAATCTCCATAATTTAGCAATATTTATCTAAGTCACCATAAAAGTATAGAAATGGATAGTAAAATTACAGACAGCTGGGTACAGGAGGAAATGAAACAAATTAAACCAAACCCATGCTCTTAGGAAAACACAAATGCCGAATTAGGTATGTTAGACTAACAGTTTAAATAATCCAATTTAACACTAATAAAGGTACTTTAGACCCAAGCTCTGCTTGGTTTTCAATATGAGTGTGCAGAGGAAAATATCAGTGGAGAGGCAGAGAGCCTGGGCCTAACAGGGGTACCAAGGGAATGGGCATTTTGGACACCTGTAACTTTCCATATTCATTCACATATTCCTAATAGTTTTTCACTGAAGTATAGAGGCACAGGTTTTGTCCTGGAGAATTGCTAAGGGACAGCATTTATAATGGAGAAGTGTATAGAGCAATAAATTATTTTGGCATTTTTTAAGGCTTTGTTTGATTATTGTAATATTTTGGTGTTTTTTAAGGCTTTGTTTGATTATTGTAATATTTCTAATTGGTTTCTGGTTTACACAGAGAGTTAGAGGCTAACTCAGAGGTTTGCACCCCTGTCTCATGGCTGCATCTCTGCTGAACAGAAAATTCTTTTTCATGACAAAGTCATTATTTAGACAGCAGATCCCAGCTAAAGTTTTTGCCTTTTGTCCCTTCATTTTCTTTGGATATGGGCAAGCCAATTTAATTGAACAGAATACTTACAGGTTTTACATTCACCATTTAGTGAATTTTATTCAGTGGCTGTTCAGACAATGTGCAATGCAGACAAATCTTCCATTCACACAATTGAAAGAAAGAACTAAAAGTAAAGGAAATTTCTTTTCAAGGTTTTAAAGCTTTGTTTCACAGTACAGTACACATGAACAGTGTGTGGCCAGGAAACAAAAGTCAAAATATGAGACAGGAAAAGGAATATAAAAGAGAATTGTTTCATGGCATACATCAAAAGATGTCAACAGCTATTCTAAAAAGAAAAATAACTGAATATGACTATCACCCACAAAGGATCATGATGCTGTAACTTCCACATAAAATGCAATTCCCAAAAATCCTTTACTCTTTTTGTCTCATGTAAATGTTTTATGCCTTTTTTTGTATTTTCATGTAGCTAAGACAGCCTTAATCTCTTTCTGTTTACATCTCAAATGGGTACCTGAGATTTTGTAAGTGTAAAGGATCTATTTGAATCAGTGCTAGAAGAATGCCCTCACAGGAAAGCCTGCAAGTAAAGGAAGATAATAGGAAAGGTGCTTCACAGAGAGGCCCACAGTGACTGTCAATGTGTGAAATTCCAATATTCTCCTTTGTACATGGAATTTCACAGACATCAGTAGAGCAGGTCACTCAAGTTATGTTCATGAACAAGATTTTACTGTAAGCACCTTTGATTCAGAGCCTTGAGTCCAGGTCTCCTGATCAATTTTGGCAGATTTACAACTGAGAAAAGTTATAGGTGTTGACTTGGACCCCAAACAAACCCATGTGTTTATATTGCTGAATAAATGTTCACAAAAATATGTTCAGCTCTAAAGCTCTGACACTTGAAGAGTTCCTAGGGTGCAATAGCACAAGGAAAAGAGTAGTGATACTTAATTGTGGGGACATTTGTTATTTCCTATCACGAGATTATACACCCAGGGCTCATTCTGTGGCTGAACAAAGATGAACTTTCCCTTAGGCTGAACTGAAAAAAAAAATTAAAAATCAGGCTAAATTTAAGATTAAGGAAAGAAATATATTCCTTATAACTGTTATTTAAAGAACTGCTTTATCAAGAGATTTGATACTCTTCATGATTTTGAAAAAGGAATAGCAATACAGTCCTGTGCCTAGACTTGTGCCTGGGCAAATATTACATATATGCTGGCAAGTACTCCAGAGCTGGGTCTATGGGACTTTCCTGGCTAGTGCCAAGCTGGGAGAGCATCTTCTGTTCTCCCCCTCCTGCTGGAATTTGAGCAGTGAGAAGAAGGAAGGGTAAGACAGGAAAGTTCATGTCTGGAGGGGAGACACTCATTAAGTACAAATGAGTCGTGGGAGATGCAGAAAGTGTTCCTTGACCAGACAGAGGGATAATAGAAAGTACAGAGAGTGAAATGCAAAGCCAGGAAAGAGGAAACCTGTGTTGACATTCTAGCTCATCTAGCTCATACCACTGCAAATCCCTGTGTTTTGGTTTCCAGCAGCGAGCAGGACACGCAAACTGGGCCCCTTTCTGTGAAGTTAAACTTCTGCTTGCTCCCCACAGGATCAGCCTAAAAGCTGCCCAAAGCAAAATCTCCTAAAATGTGCACAGGGTGGATTTCAACCAGCAGCTGCCTGCCAGCTCCTACCATCTTCAGAGCTGCCCTTTTGGGCTGCACTGCTTTGCTAACAGCAGCAGAGTCCCAGAGAGCAGGACTTCCCGGGATACAGGAATGGGAGGATGCTCAAGGTCAGCAGTCTGGGACTTTGCTGACTAAGAAACCTGGGAGGGTAATGTCTGGTGAAGCATCAAAATAACAACACAAAGGCTTGATGCCTCTTCAGCCAGTGGAAAAGAATAAGATGTAGTAGAGGAACTGGAGTGAAATAAAAGGACTGGTGACCTGGCACAGCGGTGAAGAGGGAGAGGAAGGCTGAAACAAAAAAGAACTCAGACACTGTAGCTTGGAACTGTGCTTATGTGTTACATCACAGTAAATGTTTTATTAAAAACTTCCTTTCATGCCAAAGCAAAATATCACCTCTCTCCAAAAGCTCTTGCCCTGTAATGGGATCTGTTTAAAGTATTTTTGAAATAATGCTGAAAATGCTTGAGGTTTCTGTGTGACCAAATTAAAATGTAGGGAGTTGGACTCACGTTCTATTAGAATTCTGGTTAGCATGCACATTTTATCACAAGTTTTAATAAAATGGGTTTCTGTATCATTATCTAATGACTTGCTTTTTCAATCATGCTAAGTCCCAGGTTTGAAATGTGCTCCTAAGTGTTAAACAGAAAATAAATATTCCAGTTCTTACCTGCTGCCCTTCCAGTTTTGGTTGGAAGCAGTAAACAGTTTCATGGATGTATCTGATTTGATTTGCATTGCTGAGAAAGTAAATCCTATAAGAGAGAAAGCCAAGCAAAATAGATGTGCTACTTTCTTTTCTTTCAGTCAATGTTATTTCATGTTGGATGAGATTATACTGTGCTATATCTTCAATTTAACTGCCTTCCTCAGTCTCTCTGCTCCCAGATATTTTCATCCAAGGTCCTAAAAGTGGTGACAAGTCCGCAATGTCATGCCTGAATATTACTTGACTGAGCAAAAGGATAATGGGATACTTCCCCCATGTCTTGGAATGAAGAGGAAACCAATTAGCTGAGAGGACACCAAGCATCAGCTGAATAAAAATGGAGCAAGTTGGACAGCACCCAGGCAGGGATGCACAGGAGGAAGATGTGCAGCACCAAACACATCAGGAGGACAGCAGTGTTTGAGAGGCTTAGATCAAGCAGCTGACAAGTTAAAGGTCTCAGGATGGATGGAGATTAACTGAGACTGAAGAGAGCTCAGCATCCAGCAATGAGTACCAGATGCTGGAGAGCTGCTTCGGTCACTGGTGATTCCAGGAGAGCCCTGACTCTGCCATGGCCTCCTGACAAGGCAGAGCTCAGCCTGCCTGGTCCCAGGGGCTGTGGCTGATCCCAGACTGCAGAGCTACACTGCTGCTGGGTAACAGAGAGGAGCAGCAGCATTTGGGACACATCAGGATCCAAGGAGTAACGCCCCCATGGGTCACTGTCTGATGACAGCTCCATCCATCACATCCCATCAGTCTGTTATTGCCTAGAGGTCTTGATTCAATAAAAGCAGTAAAAAAGAAAGCCATGGTTCCTTAGTCGTTGTATTACTGCTGGTAGGAAAGGATTTCTTTACATTATTAGGGTATTTTCTGAAAAGTTCCAAAAAAATCAAGAGCTCTACATACAGGAGCAACTGAACTCACATGTTGTTCCCAAGGCCAATCTTTACAGACTCCCATTTAGGCAGATTTCTAGCAAGGACTGGATAAGAATTTGCATTGCCAGATTTCAAAAATTTTTTAAAGTACTTAGATGCCAGCTATTAGGGACTGGTTTCCACTCCCTCCCTTTTTCCCACAGAAATATGGCTTTGCACCTCACAGTCCCAGCTCCTGTGCCTGAGACCTTGCACTCTGCTCAGCTGCCTGCCTGGTGCAAGTTTGGGAATAGAGGCACTGCTTTGCTGAAGAGCAGTGAGGAAAGCTCTCCTCCCAGGAGGATTCATGATGGGAAAGCCTCACTACAGGACATCTGAATATATCTGTACCCCAGTCAAACCCCAGGCTTAGTTACTGTTATGTTGCGATACTGTAATATGTAAAAAGAAATAACATAGAAAATATTATACAAGCAAAATAAAGAGAAACTTACCAGAGATATAGAGGCGTATTTATGCGACTCATCATCCCAAAACTGTGCCCACCAGAACCCTAGAAAAATCAAGAAAAATAATATAATTTGTGTTTGTTTACCAAACAGTTTAGATTTATCCAGTTACAGGGATTTTTTTCCTTTTTCATAAAGAGCACATTAAGGGAGGAACACATTCACAGTGTGCTGTTGCAACATTCACACTAATAGGGCAAAAGAAGCTACAGCAAATTGATTAGGGAATTCACCATTCAGTGCTTCCCTCAAGTGTTGAATCCATCTTTTACTGATTAATAATGAAGCATTAATGAAAATATTTCTGTGTCTCCATACTCCCACCAATTAAATGTGGTGCAGAAAAAAAAAAGCACACAGCCTTTGGAAATTTTTATTTGTCTCACTTGCCAGACAAGCAGTCGAGTAATTCTTTACTGGGAATATTGGTAAAACAAGATCTGCATTTAGGGGTTTCAGACTGGTAAAGATGGATTCTTAAGCTGACATTTAAGAATCACTGACTCTCAAATACCACATTAGCAATCAAGAAATCAACAGTGTTTAGAAGAAATATAATTAGCTCAGCACGCTCGGCTTGAAACCAACACTGTTGCTATCAGCTGCACCAAGTGCCAGGAGAAAAAAAAAATAGAGAATTTGTTTTCCATTGAAATATGCTATATTTTACTTTATTAAGGTTGTGAGAGCTTGAGACATTAATATTTCTGAGAAACTACTGGAGCCAGCTTAGATCAGGGTGGATTTTTCTCCATTAACTGAGCAAATTCTGGGAAAGCAATCTGTCTTTCTCTTGCTTGGTCTGTACTAAATGCATTGCCATGACACTGGGTGAGACAGCCAGGCAGGATGTATGTGAGGTTATTAATGTGTTTTCATTTCATTTATGTTCAGAAGCTACTGAGATTGTGTTTGAGACATAATTGCATTAGGCTTTATCTAAATTGACCTTCTTATTCTAGACTTAAGTGGGGAGGATGTCAAGCAAACAGGCCACCAAAGGCAGTACTCCTGGCTACAGATGGCAGAGCTTGCATGTAGGGAGAGAGGAGTAGCTGGGATCAAAGTAGTAATTATTTATTCCAAGCCAGCCAACATCGGTAGGGCTTTAATGTGACCACTGCTTTGAAACTTTGAGTGTATGGTGGCCTCAGATCACTGCAGGATTGAAAGCTGCCACCCTTCCTGGATTTCTTAGCAAAGAAGGTGTGGGTTAAATCCTAAATGTGTTTGGGAATTGAACTGGACACACAGAGCCGATTGCTCCAGTAGATAATGTAGGATGACCATTAGCTCCTACTGTACCTCTTCTCCAAGCAAAAAGCAGCTTTAAGTTCCTCACTGTCTATCACTTTAGCACTTCTCACAAGTATCTTTAGTGCATTTGGAATTGGAGAGAGAGCTGAAGCATGAAATCACCCTTCCTTAACTTAGTGCAAACACCACACTTTCCTCAGTAGGGAATAAGAAGGAAGTAACACCCTTCATGCCCTTGGACCTCCCCAGCTCTAAAGGCTCTGTCCCTGCAAAAAGCACGGGTGCATTCCCCAGGGGAAACAGGTCACCCATCACTTGCTGACAAAGCCCCACTTCAGCCAACAGGTACTGAGAGAGTGAGAAGTCTGCTGATAAAAATTTCATGGGGCCAGAGACTGACAAAGAGTTTTCTAAAATAGGCAAGAAATACGAAAAGCACTGGGCTGGAGAAGAGTGACAGATACAGGAAATGTGCATTTTTAGGAGGAGGGCAGGGACAGAAGTTGCAGTGGGTGCTGTAGTGCTCTTAGACTGAGAGCCAGTGTTCCTAGGTCCCTGGTCAGATAAATAGAAATGCATTAGTTTTAAAACTCTGCTCAGAAATGTCACCTTCATCTCCATTGATCTCTATTACCAAACAGGTCCTTCACTGTCACTTGTGACAAAAGGCATTAGTCAATGAAAAGCTCTAAATAACTTGAGGAAGACAAGAAAGCTCTTGTCTCTTAGCCACACAAAATAACATTAGAAAAAAAGGCTAAGTAGGGCACTGAAAAAAAGCATCTTGTACTGAAACTAAAAATTGAAATATTCTATTCTAATCCTGTCATATTTATCAAAAATATTTGGTGGTAGGGTTATTTTTTTCTCCTCTAGAAAGGATGTTTCTGTCAATGAGGGAATAGCCTAGTGAAATGTTATTGATAATTAATCCCCACACTACACAAAATGCTACACCAACCAGGAGAGCTGGTACCACAATCTACTATAAGACTGAAAGTTATCCAAGATGTTCCAAGGCTGAAGCTGCATTTGAACCACTAAACCATCTCCACTGGACCACTGAGAAAGAACTGGTGGCAGGTAGATGTCAACAGTCTGAGCTACTTCAGCATCTCTTCACACTTTGTGTCCTCTGTCCCCTCTCACTGAAACACAAGTACCACACTCCCTGGCACCTCTGCTGCTGCAGGACAAGGTATTCCCCCAGCACGTACCCAGCAGGGTGTGCTGATCCTCTGTGTGCCTGTGAGCACACCCTTGATCTTAGGATAAGCAGCTCTCTGGCTTGTGCCTCAAGCTGCATGTGCTTCCCCACTTCAAACACAAGCATTCATGGAACAGACAGAAATTGTATTTTGGGTGAGACCAAGTCAAAGGCTTGCTCACAAATCACACCCTGGAGCTCTGAGCTTGAGAAATGTATCAGTGGTGTTTAAGCACATCTGCTTACAGTGGGACAGAGGGCACTGATTGATCCAAATTGCACAGTTAGTGCTCTGTTTTCCTGCCCAAACAGTCTGCTGCAATATTAGTTCTCTGAGCAATAGACTTGTTGCTCAGGATAGGCAGTTTTATGCTTGGTGTTCAGTCCAACAAACAGTGAGCAGAGCCAGGGTGGGTCAGTTGTGATGTCCAAGCACTTCTGTCCCTCTGCCTGCAGTCAGCCTCCCCAGGCTGTGCTCTTCCAGCCACGTTAGCTGTGGCTCTCTGCCATTGTGCAGACCATGCCACCATTTGGGGGGCTTATAAAACTTAATTGGGAGCAATTGTCCATGAGAACAGGTAGGTGGGTTTAGGCAATGATTTGGAAAGCTGGTTGCAGCAATTCCTGTGATCCATATGGACAGGCACAGCTACACTGGAAAAAAAAAACCCTAAAAAAACCCAAAAACAATCCAAAAAACAAAACAACAAACAAAACAAACCAACCAAACAAAAAAAAAAATGGACACTCAATCAGTTTTGGAGGCGTTTTTGTCATTGCTTTAGGTCTGTGTGATGAGCTGAGAGCAATGGCCCTGCCGTAACCACCAACATATCCATGAACTGCCATCACATCCATCTGTCAGAGCTCGGTGCTTCAGAAGCTGTCACCAGAGAGGAGTTTCCAGGGAAATGATGTTTCTCTGCTCTTCCCTTAAATCTTAAACTGAAGGCACACGAAGGTGGCTGTAAATCCCCTGGTGCTGCCCAGTCAGAGGGACATCTCCACAGAGCTGGGGGCTAAGGCACAGCTCAGAGCAATCCTTCCTGTGCCCCAGCCCAGGACTGATTGGCTCTGCTGACACATCCTTCATAGCAAAGACAACTGCAAGAAGATGTTTTGTGCATGTGCTGGCTTCACATCACCTGGTGGGATGCAAAGGGAAGGTCTGGGCTCCCTGAGGTCTCCCCAGAGTCACCACTCCGCCCTACAGCTTTTCTTAGATCACTCCTGTGCCCCAATACTCTGCAGCATTAAGTGTTGAACAACAGCTTTTGTTCCTTGTTTTCCATAAATATTGCAGTAATTAGCTGAATTTAATTACAGTTATCATGAAATAACAAGCATTAATCAGATTCTAGTAGCAGCTGTATTTTGCTCTTTTGAAAGCAAGAAACTATTTTAAAACTATTTCATTAAAAGCATGAAATTATTTTTAAATCAAAGTAAAAAGCATTCTATATATAGAGTGGTATTATTCCAGTGCACACAAACACCTCCAAAAAATTAAAAAATAAAATAAAAAAAAAAAAGGGTATATTGCTGGGATGAAGAACCTCTTAGAGGAACAAAATCTAAAGAAACATTTATCTGGACAGCACACTGGACCTAAAAGGGACACAATGAGAACAACATAAAATACAACAGTTTTCTCATCTCTTATATTTAGGCTGCTGACGTGTACTTTTTGTAGAGATGCCCATCTAATTACAGCATCACAAAGTTCTTTAAATGTGCATAAATTGCTCTAATTCACACATCAGCTCCTCCTTTGCATTGCAAGATACATGTCAGTGCAATGTGGATCAAGCCCTTTAGAGATAAAAAGCAGTTTGCTTTTGAGATCCCTCTGCTCATCAGCTTTCCATTTTCCCTCCTCCTCGTGTAATGTGGGATCCATCTGGGATCAGACATAAAAGTGCAGAAGTGCTGTGGGAGGTTCCCACCTGCAGACCCCTGAGGGCAGTGGGCAGGACAAGGTGTCCCCAGGGACCTCCAGGGAAGTGCCTGCACATGATCACACTCAGCATGGTTCTCCTGCACAGCTTCGGGGTTCTGCACCCATGGGTTCTCCTGAGAGGTTTTTGTACACATAAAATTACAGATGTGTGAATGAGTCCTGGTTTAGACTCAAAATTAAGATACTGCAAACTGCACAGCATGTGGAGCATTAGCTGTTCATGGTTATTCACAGGAGTTAGGATTTAAATCCCATTTTTGCCATCCAAAACTGATTATGAGCACCCCTTCCAAGCTGAAGGCACCGTTGCTATCATACAATTATTGCTAGTTGTGATTAGAAAATGTGCCAGGCAGTGCAGCAGTTCCAGAAAGATGTGTAATATCATGCAATGACCTGGGCAGCTACAGCACAGGCAGAGAGAACACATGGTCACTGTACCCTACTCATCACCACAACTGAAGTCACAGAATCACTGGGTTGGAAGACCCCTTAAAGATCATCGAGTCCAACCCAGCCCCAACCCCTCAACTAAACCAGGGCACCCAGAGCCACATCCAGTCTTTTTTTAAGCACATCCAGGGATGGTGACTCCACCACCTTCCCAGGCAGGCCATTCCAGAATTTTATCACTCTTTCCATTAAAAACTTTTTCCTGATATCCAGCCTAATACTGAGTGCCCCTCACTGATGGGACAGCCCCAGCAAGCACAGCAGCCCCCAGGACTCCTCACTGTGCACTCCCAGGACAGCCCACCCCTGTGCCTGTCCACAGGCATGGACCACAGGGTTGCAGGAGCATTTTAACAACTCACTGATTCCCCTGCATGCTGAAGTGTCCCATAAAATGTGCAGTGCTTTATGGACAGGCAGTCTGGGCTATGAGGCCAGGCAAAGTTACAGCTTTGCATAACTCTGAAGTTGTAAAACAGCTTACACAGATTGCTATTTTAGCACTGGTACTTTTGACTCTCGCCCTGCCTTTGAAACCAATCCTGCTGCTTTCTAGTGCTTCTCAGGAGAAGCATCCCAAGTTGTAACATATTTCATAAGTGCACAGATATTAAAATGTGAAGTATCAAGTCCCTTCTTATCCCAGGTGAAGAAACTTCCTGTGATTTTTCACTACAATGACATAGAAAGAGAAATATTTATCATTATCAGACGAATACCTTGAAGCAACATAAGCAATATAAACTTCCTTCTCCCCGTTCCAAGTTAGAAGTTAAAGTTTAAATCATACTTTAGGAGCTCATATAATATATTTATTCCTCCAGGCCACACACTTGCGTTAATAGCTTTCCATTTCTGACTCCTGGCACACTGTGGAGAGCATTTTGAACTGGTTATTTCCTCCCTTTCTTGACAGATGAGCCCACCCCTTAAAGATAAGTGTGAGACACAGTCCTGTCTTCCAAAAATCCAGTTATTAGCTTCTATCCCTACTTCTCAGAGACTACTAAACATCACAAATACTTACTGGGGACACAGGTGGCTTTAGCAAATAACAGAAAGCACATGCAACAAAACCTACACAGATTTGAGGGGTGGGATTAGATGATCTTTAAGGTCCCTTCCAACCCAAGGTATTCAATGATTCCAGGATTCCATTCTGGGATTCCACCAGGACGCCAGGGAACCTGCTTGCATTGAATCACGTTTACATATGGAAAGAGGATGTTAAATATCTCTGACTTCTGAGGCAAAGAAAGGGTGCATAAACACCCTTATATACACACACATACACATGCATATATGCATATATATATCTCCATCCTATATACACTCACCAACAGCCTCCTCCACACTGTTCCCCTCTGTCTTTGCCACAAACAGACCCCTGCCTTCCTTCACTTCCATCACAGAAGGCTTGATCCAGGGCCCAGTCCAGAGTCTTCAGAGCCTGAAGGGTTCAGACAAGTGTAATGGTGAGGGCGAGATGCTAAAGGAGAACTACCCAAAAATACACCTGCCTTCTGATGCAAGTCCCACTGCCTCCTGTTTTTCTTGGATGACTCCCCATGCAAATTCGCACGAGCAAAGCCTTATTTAGCAATTAGATAAAACCCAATTGTCGCTGCAGGAAAACAAAATGGGTGATTGAAGTAACTCCTCTGAATTCTAAAAATAGCGGCTGGGACTTTGATTTTAAAATGTCCTGTGGTGGGTAAACAGATAAGTGGAATAGGTCCTTGGATGAATGAGTGCTGACAGCCTTCAAAAAAAAAAAAAGTCAGAATCAAGCTTTGGTTTTTGAGCCTGCTGTGCATCGGAACATTAACCTACTTTGAGCAAAGTTTGCTAAGCAAGCAACAGGGATAGCAAGCAGGGCAAGCTAAGGGGAGCTGCATGGAACTCCTTTCTCATGCCTTCAGAGCTGCAAGGCCTGAACACGAGGAGAAAAACCCAACTGAAAATCTGGCTGCCATCCAGAAGTTTAATGCCTTTGAAAGAACCCTGCGGTGAAGATGAAGGTACTTAATATTTTGGTATTTTCCCGTCTGTTTGGAAAAAAGGAAAAGGCTGACTTTAATTATATTTAATGGTCAAAAATTGAGACATTTTATGCGTGTGTGAATCTCGGTATTGGTGACTATAAAAATCTCCCCCATGTTATTTGCAGTGGCTTACATTCCAGTCTGTCTCTATGATGAAGTATCAAAAATTATTACTTACTCAAATGTGTAATCACTGCTGAGAATGGCACTGCTGACATTTCTATCTCCTTCTGAGTTCTACTGACATTTCCTAACTACTGGAAGGGATAAATAAATACAGACCCCAAAAGATGCTGAGCATTTTTATCATGACAAAAGAAAAGCATTGGACTGTAAAGTGCAAAACAATTTTAATTTTCCTGGAAAATTGCTTTCTTTTATGGATATTTTTTTACAACCCTGTAATAAGTGCTTCAAAAAAGGACTTTCCAACTGCATCTGAAAAAACCTTATATGCCCCTTGAACACTACTCCATTGACTTTTCATTTGTAGTTTGCTTCTTCATGCTAATTATCATGTGCCCTTTAATTATGGGAACAAATTCTTGCAGGGGATGCAATTAAAGATGTAAAAAATACTTCCACCTAGGTTTCCTTTTTCCCTCATGGAGTTTCTAAGTTTCTGGCATTTGATTTTTAAGAAAGCTTTTAAGTCTGACTGCGTGGCATCATAATTTACAGAGCAGGAGTCTCTCTCATATCCTAAATAGCAGCTGATGAATTTCAAAGGTTTCTCTCTGAATAAACATCTAAAACTCTGGATAGTTATTGAGCTCATATGGCCTCCTTTTCTCTGGAAAGCAAAGAGCTGTGTGTGTGTGCAGACAAATTTTGTCACAGTCTGTCCAGCAGCTGAACCTCAGGCTGCTGATTTTACAAAGGTGAGAATTCATGTAAAGAATTTTGATATTTCTATTTCAGAAAACATATATGTGTGCAGAACCAGAGAACACAGAACACCTCTTGACTTTTACCTAACAACTCTGAAGCCCCTGAAAGGCTTGGTTTTGGTTAGGAGCAGTAGTCAGATATAGATGCTGATTGCTTTTTATTTAGCCCACTCAGCTGAAAGCAAGCTCAAATATTCTGCACTAAGCTGCATCTCTGCTTGAAGCATAGAAGATGACATTTCTATTTAGTTCATACACAATTTAAAGAAATGCAGTGATGAAAAGGCACAAAACTCAGAACTGCAGTGTTCTTTATAAAAACTCTGTCCTTATAATTTTAGACTAAGCTTTAAGAACGAATACATTAAGAGCTGAGGAGGAATGATGGACCATAAATTATTCTGAAGTCTGGGGAAGGAAATCAGTGTCATTGCCTGGATAGAGGCTGAAATAAATGAAAAGGGAGCTTCCTGGATCCATGTACAAAGCACTGTGCAGATGCTGAGTTCTGCATCCCTTCCACAGCAGCCCCTGCTTGGCTGTGTGGGAATGCACACACTGAGTTAGTGCTGCCACAAAGTCCTTGGCAGAAAATCCCATCTATGGCAGAGGGATTTTCTTTTCCTTTTTTTGCTTCCCTCTGACATCTGTGGACAGTAAATCTCAAACACCTTGGGCTTTTTTCAGAGCCAAACAAATAAGTGCACATTGGGTGTGCAGGATGCCCCTGCCCTGCAGCGTGCAGTGCCCAACACTTGATGACACTTTTGGTGGGAGGCTGAGAGAAAAGGCTGCTTGCTGCTTGGTTGCTGCCTAGGGTTTAACCACAATGACAGTAGACTCTTATTTGTCTGTTTATAAAGAGACTGAGATACCAGAAGTGTTTTCAGATCATCTGCTGGAAAGGTGCTTTTTGGAGATGGGTTTCCATCCTGCTTTGCACAGCACTCAGTAAAACGTTCCCCAATGCCCTCACTGCAGTGACTGGATGTTTGACAGAGAGAAGTGGTTCTTAGAGAGAAAAAAACCCATCCCAACAAATGTTGAATGAGCAACACTGTGGTGTGGTGACTTTAGCAAAAAGCCATACAATCACTGTGAAAAACAATCCAGAATAATGGTGTTTGTGAAATCACTTGTCCCATAGTATGGGGAGTTGCTCAAAGAGAGTCAGACTTTCCCTGGAACCTAAGTTTAATCCACTTAAGGTTTCCATCTTTAATTGCTGCCTCAGGGGTAGCAATTGTCCTGACTTAGGAGAGAACTGCAGGCACCAAAAGCAGATCCGAACAGAAATTTCAAACAGCTTTTTCCATTTTCCAGAATGGACCTCTCTTTTTGAAATTGAATATCTTTCTGGGGGTAAAAGAATTAAAACATTAATTTGTGGTGATTCTCATAAAATAATATGTAACAAAAAAAAAAGATTAAAAATGAGGAGAGACGATGGGGAGGCTTTTGAAATGTTTAAAGGAAGACCCTTTTTCATACAACTGAATAAGAAAAAAAACAACAGGGAGGCAGAAAGAGATAAGGACAAAAGCTCTGGTCTTTTCAATTTTTCTGCGAGGTTGTAATTATTCTGTTGTACGTGGGAAGAACAATGGGACACAGAGAAACCACACAGATAAATCCTGCAACTCTCCTCTGTGCAGGGAGAAGCTGCTGCAGCCAGGCTGGGCTGCTGGGGAGCACATTTGCAGGGGGGAACAAGTTCATTCACCCCAATTTTCCTAGAAGCCTGTCACCAAGGGACAAAGCAGAAGTTGTTCCCTGCTGGCATTTCCCTAAGGAAGGGTGTTCAGGGCTTGCAGCCCAGGTCAGCAGGAGATGTGCTGCACCACAGGTGCCCTCCTCAGAGCTCAGGGGCCAAGGATGGAGCGGGGCTCTAACCCATCATTCCCATTTTCATGTCATACTCTAAAAGAAAATGCTGGCCTCACCAAGAGAGAACTTAAATTCAAACCACACAGAGTTGAGTTCACCCATCAATTGCATACAGATCTGAATTTTTTCCTTCTTTGGCCTTGAAAATTAATCTGAGTCTGCTCAGCCTCCTGAAAATACCTTGCTCACACACTGTGCTACACAGAGAGGCTTCATGCAAGATAGGATTGAAGCCAGCAGTTTCTGTCTAAGCAGCAGGCTCCACCAGGCTTTGCAGGGATGTTTTCCTGTTGAATCCCAGGTCCCACAGCAGCAGCAGCAATAATTAGGTTGCTGCTGTGTTCTCCAAGGACTCGCCATGCAGGGGACAGTGATCATCACCCCTGGGCTGCTGCTCAACACATTTTGGATTTTTTACATCTGTGTCCATCCTTTCTGCTGAGCTAAGAGGTGAAAGTTCAAAGCACAGCATGTATGGAATGGGATTCCATACAGGAATGGGATTCCTTCCCCATACACTTCCCCAGGGCTGGGGAGAGCCTGAGCTCCAGTGCTGGCTCACTCCTGCCTCACTGAATTATTTGGGGAAGACAGAGGACACTCTTAATGAGAGAATCAAGGGAGGTCCTTTTATTCTTTATGATCTTTATTTAATGATTTTACTTCAGAGTAATGGAAGATGGGTAGCTTGGGAAGGTAAACTGTGGCTCAGAAAGACACAGGAAAAGAAGCAAACATTCAAATGAATGAAATCAATAAATGCATGGTACAAGCCAGTTTAGACTTCATAAAATGGGAAACCAAATATTAAAAATAACCAAAAAAAACCCAAAGTTGCTTGAATTAATTGCACTCCCTTCATCGAATTTTTTGGGAAAATAATTTGACAGAAAACCATTCAATTAAAAATAGATAGAAAAATACCATAATGAGCAGTTATGAAAGGGTTTGCAAAAAAAAAAAAAAAGATATGCAAAAAAAGTTATGCAAATTCTGGTTAATTCTAATACTTCAGTATTTCTGTTTAAATGATAACCTGTATGGGAGAAATTTAGGAGATGAAGGAGGGATTATTGCAAATAATCTTGGGGTAAAGACTGGCAGGTGTTACAGCTCTCCCATATGTTTTATATGCTGTTTTCTGGATCAGAAGCAGCAGTTAAAAAAACCATCAACACAGTAGCTTTTAATTATAACATAAAAATATAATTATTCTCATTTTGTCAACAGCATATTGGGTTCCTTTCCACCATTTAGTTTTATCTAAGAACGAACACAGCAGAAAAGAGAAGCACAGTATTTTCAGATGTCTACACACACATATCAATATTTCAGAAGTTCTTTTGATTTCTGATAAAGTGGATAGATTTTATTTTCAAGTATTCAGTGTTTCTAAAAGACTCAACTTGTGCTTTCATGGCAGGAATGAACAGAAATAACCTTTAGATTTTGAAAGTTGAAGGGAATGTGTCAAGTTTCAGTCTAAGGATAGAATCATTCTCATTTCTCCTCTCTCCCCACTGAGAGGAAGTCCCAGCCTACAAAGCATGGTGAAGTGTGTTTAACCCTGGTAAATAGAGGATGCAAGAGGGTAAAACACAAATGGGCGTTGGTTTATGGCTTCTGGAGTTCATGTCA